TACATAACAAATTTAATTTCTAATAGTTAGTTTATATTATTTTGCATTTATCATTGCGAATAGGCTAATTTTAAAAGTGGCACCAAAAGACAATCAGGTTATACGTATAGGGGGCGTTTTAGCCTACACACTTGTTCCATGTATGGATATTGAACTTTCTAGAACTTCTACTAATTTAGCTTAGTTCTATCAGAAGGAAGTCACGACTACTTAAATTTACTTGTTCTATATTTGTGTAAGCTGTTAGAAAAATTTAACATGTCTGTTATTGGAATAGATTTTGGAAATGAGAACTGTTTTATAGCAGTTGCTCGAGCAGGAGGGATTGAAACAATAGCTAACGAATACAGTCAGCGTGTCACGCCGTAAGTACATTAAAATAGGCCTACCGTGATTTATTACTATAATAATTTACATATAGTCGGTGTTAGTCCTTTTAGAAATTAAACTGTTCTTTTCCTAGTTAGGGTTAGCATAAAGAACATGCGAACAGTAGAGGACCATTCGGTCCTTTAAGGCTGCCCTTAGCCACTAATTCTCGCGTAAATTAAAATTTAAACCAACTCTTTCATTTTCCAGGAAATAATTATTTTTGAATATTTGTAAATAATAATAAAACTTAAAGTTTAAACTTACAATTATTGAATTATACTTATAGCATAGAGTGTCACTGTCATACCTTTCAGCTTCACCATGTTATTTTTTCAATTCTTTATAATACTGACTTGCCCCTTCAACAATTAAAAAATGCTCAGATATTTTTAACGAAATAATTATTTTTATCTCTTTATTTTTGATAAATTTTAAGGGTGCATTTTATGCTGGAAAATAAGCATTAAATGCAAGTTTTATCTTGATTGAAATTAGAAACTTGACCTTGTAAAAAGCTCTCATCGCATCATGGCTGGTATATTCAATTTATACACCTGGAGTCTTCACCAGTTGAAAGGTTTGTGACATTTACTGTACTTGTCGTGTATGGTTAAAATTACTGTTGAGCCAGCAGTGTGGTAATGACAGTATGTTGGTTCAGAAAATTTAATTCCAAAATAAATTTAACACTTTCCTGCATAAAAATAAACCATAGGCCTTTATGTGAGAAGAGTTAACATATTTTGTTGAATATAGTCACATGGAGGGGAAAATTCAGTTTATAGAGAATCAACAAAAAGTAACATGTTATTGTTCAATGGTAGTGTGGAGATACAGGTTTCTTTTGTTATTTGTATGTCTACCACAGCCTACCTGCTAGGTGCTGGCCTCTACCACTGCCCAAGGCAACTTCCTCCATAAGCCATTCAACCTGTTAAAAAATATAACAGTATTAATTGTAGCCAAGCCAGTCTTTTCCACTTCTTAAACTTGTATTCAGAATTCAGATACCTTTATCTTATCAGTCTTCCAGATAATCTTACACACTTCAATAAAATCATCTTATTTCTCAACAGAAAATATATTTTGGTATCTCTCAATAATAAGACAACACTTCTCTCCCCTGTATCATGGTAGTTGTAGTAACTTCCCTGTGAGTTTTTTAAAATATGGCAGTATTCTTTCGTAAACAAGACTAAAACTGTACACAGTATTCCAGGTGAGGCCTAACTGGGGATTTGTGTATAGAGATAATTACCTCTTGTAACTAATTAATATGCCTATAAATACATCCTGAAATACTGTCAGCTTGATACTAGCATCAGAGCACTGCTTCAGTGGCTTGAGCTACTCATCCACTATTTTGCCAAGATCTTTTTTTTATCAGTCACATTGTTCAGTGGGTTTCCATCTATATTAAACATATGATCCAAAGTATGATAACCCAACTTAAAGTTCATTTACCATATATTTGCCAAACATTTCAATTAATTAAAGACATTTTGTAATAGTTAAAGGCCATTAGCAAACATTTAATTCAGTAATTGTGTGAAAAGCCTAGTAACTGACCTCTGACACACTCAACTAGTAAAAGAGTCCAGTTTGACTGAACTCAGTAATAACCTTTTGCTTTCTTCCATCCAGTTAATCTACAGTCTTATTAAGTAGTTTCCCCAGCCCCTACCATTGTGATATTCTTAGCTTATCTTCTCTATATCACTTTATCGAGCTTTTAAAATCTAAGTGCATTGTTTCTATAGTACAGATAACAAGCAACAAAAGTTAGATTAATAAGGTAAAATTTTCCTTTGGTGAATCCATGTTAGTTTTCTTTTATATCATATTTCACTAAATGATTTTGTAAAACTTCTTATATTAGACTAGAATTTTTCATATGACAGAAGACAAACTGGCCCATAATTTCTAGGGCAACTCTTATCACCCCTTTAAAAATAGTAGTAACATTAACAACTCTAAATGTCAGACACTACCCACTTTGTATTGACATACCAACAGTGAAAAAAAGAAGTTTTAATATTTGATCATTGACATTCAAAACTCTGAGGAAAACTTTGGGTATGGTGCTTTATCTGTTTTTAATCTTTTTATATACCACCAAGTATTTATACCTACATGATCAAATTCTGTAACAATATTTTGTATCAAATGCTCAGGGTTGAGATTATTGTTAATGTAAAAAAATCATCCCACTACTACAAGCATCTTGTAATAAAAAATTACCCCACTACTACAAGTATCTTGTTACAAAAAACATTGATATTGTAAATTAACCCTTTGAAGACGAGTCACGGGTAAAAGGCCATGTCATCTCATTTGTTGAACTACTATTCCATGAACTTATGTCAATAAATTTGGTATCAAACTGTAGATTATAATTCAAATTTTAGTACTATATATTACTCAATTTCTTAATTTAAAAACAAATATTAAAAAACAAAGATAAACATCAATTTTTATGTGTCATGTGATATGTTGAATGCAGCACTGGTTCAGATTAGATGTTTATGAAGCAAAAATACTAAGTCTATAGTTTCTTACAAATTAGAAACTCAAATTACCGATATTGACAAGCTAGAAAATAAGAGTCTCTTATTTTTTCAATTTGCTTAGATATTTCTCATGTAATAAATTAAACACAGTAGCACCCTGCCCACCCTATTCCATTTTTGGAAATGCTTCCTTATATATACTTAGTGATATATATGACATGAATAACCAATCGGAAGTTCAGAATGCCCTCCTAGTGGCTTTTTCAGCCATTTCTTTCTCTTGAACCAAGATTTTAAGGGGGTAGGGTGTGTCTAGTCTGCTCAAAATTTCATATTTTTTTAGACTAAAATACATCTCAGTTACTAAGCTTGAAAAATTATAGTGGGATTCTATGGTACTGATGTAGTAATTTATGATTTTCTAGTTATTAGTTTGCTTTACTTTATTTGCTGTTCTATGTTTGAGAAAAATAATTTTAAGAACTTATTTCAAAATAATAATCTATATACATATATATAATGTATAATAATTGAAATGTGACTATTTTACAAAATACTAGTGTACTAAAACTTTGACTTTGTACAGACCAATGGTCAGTTTATTGTTATTTGATACAGTAACATGAGTGCATGTGAGCCGTGTCATTGTAATTTCTTTATTGTTAGCCAGGCACGGCTGAAAGGTCAATATAATAAAAAATAATAAATATTTATAAATCTACAGTGTTTTGAGATTTAAGCTATTTAGTCTAAACATTTATATTTTCGTGTTATAAGTTGTGTTCATTCTAGAATGAAAGAGGCATAATTTATATTTATTTCCTAATTTTTTATGGTGTTTGCGAGATCAGTCAAATCTACCAAACCTGTACAGAGGTTAATTACTGAAAATGACAGATAAAATAAGTTTTTTTCTTAAGAAATGTTTGATAACTATCTGGACGTTATAAAGATTTTGCTTGTGAAATTTGAAAATTTTCTGATGCATAAAAGTATTTTTAATCTTAAAATGAAAATTACTTTGCATGATAGATGGGCAACATGTGAAAAGTAAAAAAGGCATGAGAAAAACATTGCTTTACAAACCTTAAGTCTTAATAAAAAAATTTGATATTTTGCATAGGAAAGCATTGTAATGTGTACTGATAATCTGCCAAATTTTGTTAACAGTTGCTTACTAATTTAAAAGTTATAGCATGAAAACTATAACAAGCACAAAATGATTAGGAGGTTGGTCCCAGGGACCAAGCCCGTGCTGAAAGAGTTAAATGCCAAGTGAGCTAAATGAAATGTAAGAAAATATCCAGACATGTATTGGAAAAACCAGGAAATTTTGTCAAACAGTCTTTTCAGGATAACAATTTGGTTTAAAAATTTCCCAGTGATCTACCTTCTCGTCTACTAAGGTATCAGGATTGTTACAAGTATGTGAAAGTTCTCATTAATTGGCTAAAAATCATGACCCATGGATGAGGACAGAGGTAATGTAGAAATAATGCTTTTTTGCAGTTGTTTTTTATTTTTGTACATATTATCTACCATTCAATACAGCTATAGAAATGTCTAGAAATTGTAAGCATTCACTAGGATAGAGCATATGTAAAAGTAATTGGATATTATTTTGGACCTGGTTTAGGAAATGAAAGCAAATTAATTTTTTTAAGCCATCATTCCAAATCTCATAAATATCATCAATAAAATGTAGCTGTTTACTTCAAATACCCAGAGGAAGGGATTTGTTTGTTTGTTGTTTTTTTCTTGTTACATGGAACTGCTTGTAGTTTATTGCCAGTGACAAGAACTAAATCATAAAGCTCTCATTGGCTCATTAAGGATCAAGTGTTCACTAATTGTGTTAACTTTAATTAAGCAAATACTATACATGTTCTTCCTGTTGTTGGAGTACTTCATATTAGTTCAACATTATATGCACTCAGTTATATGAATACCACTGACATACTGTTGCAAAAAAAGAATAGTAATAAGATACGTCACAATAAAAGCAAAAAGTATATGTAAACATAGCATAGCTGCTGTTAATTTTACTGTTGATTTAAATCATTTTGTAGTGCTTTTCGTGTCTATAACGTTATAGTTGTAAATATTAAATCATAGTAACCTGATATACAGCTAGGTATATATATTCAATTATATTCTGTGTAAAGATTACGGATTAGGTTTAGCAATCATATGTCTTTGCATGTCTATAACCTGTACATCAATCTGCACATTATAGTTGTAAATATTAGATCATAGTAACCTAATATACAGCTAGGTTTGGGCTTGCTGATTGTCTTTTTGAAGCTTAGTCAAATTTGTAGATTTATACATAAGTAAATTATTGTATGTTTTGTCAGATCCTATGTGGCGTTTGGTGAAAAAAACCGTGACCTAGGTGTTTCAGCTAAAAATAAGCAAGTAACCAACCTGAAAAACACTGTTTTTGGTTTCAAAAGACTTGTTGGTAGGAAGTTGGGGGATCCGGCAGTTCAGAGGGAAGTGACCTACCTACCTTATGAGTTGTGTGAACTGGACAATAACAATGTTGGTGTCAAGGTAAAAAACTTGACCTTTTCTTATCAACAGAAGTGTTTGCATTTTTATGGAGATAAAACATTGCTTTCTTAAGATTTCATGATGTTAGAAAAACATGTAGGTTCAAGAAGTCTATTTATTTAAGATAATTTTCCATACTTGTTTTTATAAATTGATTAGCGTAACATATCATTTTCAATCAGTCTCCAGGTGTCACCTTTATTTTACTTAAACACTTAAATATAGTTTTAAATATACATATATTTATCCCTTTCTAAAGTAAAATATCCCTAACACCTTTTCACATACACTCTTGCCATTGGCTACATTGTACCGGAAATGAGATGTTTACAACAGTACATAGAGAAATAGACTAAACATTTCCTGGAAAACCAGATGACCTTAAGTCACTAAACTCCCTTTATATATATCACTCATTCGATTACACCATAATTCCCAGTTTGCCCCTGAAGAAGAAAGGTCCACCTTTCAAAAGTGCTTCGGTTATAGGGTTTTTATTGATTTCTTAAGCTTTAATAGCCTTATTTTTTATGGTTAATTGAAGTTGATATTTTATTTCTATAATAATGACTGTAATATAAAGTCTTCTCAAGTATAGTAGGGATTAGAAGTAACTATTGATATAAGATTGACTGTTGCATTTAACATTCTCACACGAGATATGATGATTTTATAATTTAACTTTGTGAAATGATTATGGATTCATAATTAATCCTACTGTGACAAAATTAACACAGTGCTTTATGTTTATTTTCATATTTACCAGTTTTCTTTTCTACTTTCTTTTGTAAAGATTCATAAACATTCCTGCTGGAAGAAAGGTTATATAGTTATCCATACAATGTGATTTATTTTAAGTTACAGAAGTCTGATTTTGTACTTTATACTTTAAAATCCTGTGGTTTTTTGTAGGTCTTTGTAATTTGTACACCATCCAGCAGACTTTAGTTATAAATATCATGAACCACTATTGTGGTTCATAATAGGGATCACAAGGAATTGCACAAATCCCTAATAGAACGTTCAGGCAAAAAAGCATCTTAATCCTATCACCACGGGTATCCTTTATTGTGCAAGACACAAGGTTTTAGTTTCTTACATTCAAAATGTTATTAAACTACTTTTTGTTTATGTTATACCAATTAGTATACCATAAAATCTTTAGCTAATTATCCATATTTTAATAGTATATAAGTTTTAAATTCTTAATTCTATAAGGCAATATTTAAAAAACCTGAATTTTCCTAATGTGACACATGTTACACATTTTCTGTAGGTATCTTCTGTTCTCCATTTTATTCATTACCTGTCAAAAAAGTACAAAATTCAATGTAAATTACTCGCTATAATATTGTCATTGCTCAGACAAACCATAATTTCATAGTTTTCAATTTTGTTTGGTTACCGAGCTATCAAATAGAAAATCAGACCCCTCCTGCCACACCCACCTGTCTTTCAGGATTTGTTAATAGTTCTCTCTTACGTTTAGTTAAACATTATCTGTAACCAATAGAAAGCCAAGGTTTTCATTTATCAATTGATGTATTCTATTACATTGTGTTCTGAACACAGAATAGTCAATTTCACTTGTAATACAACTTTGGTTCCCATGGGGATTACAATGGCTAGCTTGGATTAATCTATAATGGCTCTTGTTGCATAGTTAGAAAGCCAAAAAAATTGTGATTGTTAGAGGAAATTGTCTGCTTTTACATGTTATTAATCTATGTTCTTTGGTGCATTATTTAATTGAATTAAAATTATTTAATGTACCACTACCATTAGTATAAAAAATTAGGGTTAAGTGTCATCGATAGTTGACAACAAAAGAAAAAAGAATACTCGGATAAGTACTTTGTTGCTTGTTTTTCATATTTATTCTTTATATATTTTTATAAAAGTAATTAAAATGTAAAAATAGAGATTAGGTAAAATTAACAATAATCATAATGTAATAAATATATTTCACAAGGCATGCATGCAAACAGCTTAGAGTAGCTCTTGGGTAATGTAATTCAATAGTGTAACGTGAGATGCATGTTCCCCAAGTGATTTACAACTTATAATGGCACAAATAGTAGTTAGACATGGTTCAAATAGATATATACTGTTACGAGTTTAAAGCTATTTAGGATAAATGAATGTAGTTTCAAGCTACATTTGAAGTCTTTCTAGAAAGAAAAGGGGGTAATTTATATTTATTTTGTTTTTTTTAATGGTGGTTACAAAGTCAGTCAAATTGAACAACCTTGTATAGAATTAGGGTAGAGAAAATAACAGATAAAATATAAAGTTTTACTGAAAACAAACATTTGAAATGTATTTAGGAGGTTTAAGGGATTACACAAATGAAATTTCAGATTTTTGAGATGAAGAAAAGTATTTTCAATGTTAATGAAAATCACTGCACATGGACTGTTCGAAACAAATCCTTGATATATTCAAGGACAAATCTTTTTGTTTAGTTTATTAAAAATATTTCACTAAAAATATGATTTCTGTATGTGAAAAGCTTGCAATGTTTACTGAAAGACTGCCAAATTTCATGAAGATATACACACACTATCAAAGATAGTATCAAATCTATAAAGACTTTATACGTGTACAAAAAGGTCACGTGGTTGGTCAAATTGACTGAGTCTGTGTGGAGAGTGTTAAACAGTAAAGATTCAGTTCAAACACTTTAAAACCTTTACTATTGACTGCTAAGGCTATACACTTATAAAAATGCACAAACAAGCACACATGTCAGACTTACAAGGAAAAGAAGATCCACTCAAAAGGCCTGTTTATAATTCTCCTTATTATTCTCTTGTCAGTCTAGTACAAAAACGGCTTGGTATATTGCACCCAAACCTTTGTAGAATACTAAATATGGTATTGTGAAAGTTGTAGGTGTCTTGAAAAGTCAATTTGTTTCTTCTATATTTTACATAGCATTATTACAAATATCTGGTGTTCCTTTAAAAAGTTTAAGTACAAGGTGAAACAGAAGATATAATTGTTTGCTTTACTTCTTTATTTACTGTTCTACGTTTTAAGAA